GGATCATTGTGGACACTAAGAAAAGCTAGAAGAGGGTGGGTTAGTGTGAAAGGTGGGGGCGGGGGGATGGACAGGGAGAGAAGGGAAAGGCTTGAGAGCCTAGCCTATTCCCAGGGGTGCCTGCCACAGGCAGGGGATGATACTGCAACTTAGGGGGTACCTCAACCCAAATCGAGAGCAGATATCTCCAGACTGGACAGCTTGAGCATGGACAGGGCCCCCTGAGGGCCAGGAGCCTAGGGCCACTGGAGCTGCACAGCAGGCCAAACGTGGCCAAGTCAGATCCGCTCCCTCTGCTGTCCCAGGGCCTGGCGTCCCTACCCCAGGAGCCCCCAGCGGCCCTGCGGACGCCCCTCATCCCAGCTCCTACACCGCGCACCTCGCACGCGGGCCGGGCGGAGGGGAAAGTTGGCAGGAGCTGGGCGCCCGCGGGGGAAAGCGTTAATGGGCGGCCGGGTGGGAGCAGCTCGCTCGCTCGCCCACGTCACGCCGGTGCGGGCTCGGCTGACGACCGCGGCGCCTGGGGACGCCGGCGCGCTCCGCTCTCCAGGTGCTCCGCCTGGAAATGTCTCCATTAGTTGTCGCTTGCTCCCCGCCGAAGCGCGCGCGCCGAGCGGCCGCGCAGAGCCCTCGCGGGCGGCCGGGAGTGGCCCAGCGCCACCGCAGGTAGGAAAGGTCCCCGCGCCCGCCCCCGCCCCGGGGTTCCGAGACCCCTCCCCCCTCCCGAGGAGGCGGAGGCTCGGCGCGGCCGCCGAGGGGCGCGGGCGGCGGCGGCGGCGGCGGCGGCGGCAACGACTCCCCGGTGCGTCCCGGGCTGCGCGCTGCTCCCCGTGGCCCTGGCGCCCCAGAGGCGAGGGCGGGAGCTTCCCCAGAGCAGGTAGGGAGTGGGATCCACAGCACAAACTTTGCGACGATCGCTCTTGCGCCGGAGGGGACAAAGTTTGCTGTTCGCTGATGGGGGGTCTCCGGAGGCCGTTGCGTTTGCTGCAAGTTTCGGAAAGCTTGATGGGGGAATGGGCGTGTGTCTCCGGGTGCGGGACGTGGGGCTCCCCCTGGGCCGGAGAGGGCGGGATGGTACCGTCCGCACTCTGGACGCCCGAACTGCGCTTCTTTCCAGCCTCGGCCAGCGCCCTGCCAGCAGGCAGTGGGGGCGCAGCCCTGGAAGCTAAGGGAGAGTGCCGGAATGGAGGGCGTTTGGGGGAAGAGGATTACATGCGTGTTGCGTCCGACTGGCTTGGGGAGGAGGCAGGGCGATCTCACAAGGAATGACCTTCCAACATCAGGGTTCGCCCACGCGGCATCGCTGGCACCTGGAGCGCCTCTCAGCCAGTACCAGCCGGGTGTCCCAGAGCAGTGGGTGGACACAGGAGTCCCTAGGGCTCAGCCCTGTACCTCAGATAAGAAGGCCCTTCCTGGTGCTCTGCTCCTGCCTTGGCCTTTGGCTGGGGTCAACTTCTCTCGGCTGGAAAGAGCTCTCCAGGGACTCTTGAGGAAAGGGGGAAGGGATGGCCCCTGGATTACTCTGGACTAGACAGCTGGCCGCGAGGTCGGGCCAGTATTCTCAGAAGCCGCCTGCGGTTCACAGTCAACATCAACCCTAGACAAAACAGGTAGCCCTTGAGCTTCTAATGTGTGGGGCTACCCACCCTCTGCTCCACCCCTGAGGCCCACTCAGGCCCTCATCCCCTGCTCCTTTCAAATCTTCACCAAAGACAACCAGCTGCCCAGTGGCAGAGAGCCTGTTCTCTGGTATATTTATATTCGGGTCCTTCCGGGTTCCTGGGAGCAGCTTGCAGCTTCTATGCCAGCTCATTTAGCTGAAAATACCTGAGATTCTAAGACTCCTGTCTGCCCGGGTAGAGAGGGGACTTGGTGCCTCAGCTCACGGCTTGGCCTTGGAGGAAGGGCACTTGGACAATTGCTTTTACATCTATAAGGCAAGGGCTGCCTATGGAGTGCCCCGGTGGGCAGGTGAGCCCCAGCAGGCCGCAGGCTGTCAGCAGGATATCCAGTTTGAGTGCTGGCCAGAAACAGGCTGGAGGACCCTGTGTCCAGGGTTGGATAGCTCTGCCTGGACAAGGCTGGGTAAGGCCCCACAGACTGTCAGGCAGCTGTGAGTTCTAGTGAGGCAGGGCCAGAACCCTGTGTGGCCACTTCAGCCTGGGGCAGGCAGGAAGTGAAGCAGGAGCATTCATCTTCCTAGGAAAGTGGAGTCTGGTGAGACAATTTTTTTGGGGGGGGGTGCGGAGAAGGAAGCTCTCCAGAACTGGACCTGACTGGGGATTGGAAGGAAGCATTGGTTTAAGCTGGCAGGCTGGAAGGCAAACAAGAGAATGTTGCCCTGATGGTCTGAAACCCCTCCCCCCAGGACTGGATGTTCAACCCCCGGTGCCAAGTGAGGGGATGAGGTGATCAGTCGCCCTGTGGGGGGGGGGTGGAGCAGCTCCTGAGCGGGGAGGCTGGGTCTCCCGCAAAGGAAACGCGGTTTGTAGGGCCTGTGCGCTAGGAGCTGGAGCACCAGAGTGCAGTGCGCAGGCCACTGGCACATGGGGCCTGGATTTCCGCCCCCTCTCCCGCCAGCCCAGCGTTCAGGATCCCTTAGTCCTGGACTTGGGGCATGGGGTGACATAAAGGCAAGTCACTAATGAACACCATCCTGCGCTCTGGATTCCTGATCCCAGGAAGGGCTCCCTGAGCCCTTAGCCGACCTGCGCTGGGGCCCCTCCCTCACCCGGACCTCATTATCAAGAGAGAGCGAGTTGTTTGTAAACAATAAATAAATAATGGAAAGCAGGCGGATGTTCAGCAAAAGCGGGAAAACTGGAGGCGCCAGGAGGAGGGGGAGGGGGAGGGGAGGCGTAGGAAGGAAGAAGGAGCGGCGGGGAGATTCATTTCCTCTCCAGAAGCCCCGGTGGCCAGTTTCTTATTATTTACGGGAAGGTGGTATTAGCAATTCAGGTGAAAAAGAAATAAACACGGCTTGCCACGAAATCAATACAGAATTCAAAAACAATTATTAATGTCATTTGACTCGTGTTCTTTATATATCTCTCGCGGCTACCGACGCTAAACTGTCTGAATAATTTGCATGGAGCGACTATTCATTATTTCCGACGGTTTCCCTTTGCAAGCAGCTCGGACGTGGCCGGCTGCGGTCCAACGCGATCGGAGAACTCGTATTTTCATCTGTAAATTAAAGCAATTACGCAGCAGATATTATATGATGTGTACCGCGGTCTCCAGATAGTCATCAATCACCTTCAACCGAGCTGTCAGAGCCGGCAGATTTCGTTTCTGGGAGGCAGCCTTGCAGCTGGGGAGAAGGCGAGAGCGTCATCATTAATTAGAGGGTGACCCTGGGGCGATTTACAGGTCTGAACCCAGGAATCTTTCCGAGCAAGTCTGCACAGCGCCGCGGTGCACGGCTCTCCGATCCCGGCGGATCGCAGGAGGCCGGCTGGTCCGGCGAGAGCAGCAGAGGCGAATCCGGGCCCCCGAGGACAGCGGCATGAAAGGCGGGGAGCGAGTTTAGGGTGGCCCGGCACCCCCAAGCTGCCTGCACTCTGGCCTCCACTTTGAACTTGGGGCCAAGTCTCAGCTCCCTGACTGACCGGGGTCGTCCTGGAGAGGGCACTTGGCCTTTCCCCGGGCTGCTCCGTGAGCCTCAGGCTGGGGGCTGTGCAAAAAGGACCGGGGAGAGAGCCTGGTCCCAGCGCCCAACGACCCCTCCTCTACACCCAGCCCTGCTGCTCGCCTAGAGGAGCCACAATCCTCCGGGAGGGGCCCCGGGTCTGAGTCGGGAAACCAGCTCTTCCGAGCGAGCAAAGCGCCTGGCAGTCCCTGGTTTAGCCGCGAGGGGCAGGGAAAGGCTGAAGGAGCACAGCCCGCCTGATAGGGAGGGGAGAAGAGGAGAGAAAGGGCGGCGGCGGTGGGCTAAGCAGAAACTTAAATAACCCTGAGTGGGGAAAGGGGAGGGGCCTTCTCCAGGGACGCTGGGCTGCCCAGATTGGCAAGACTGGCGCGCGTGGGGCTGGGGAGGCCCATTACCACCTGGGCCGCCGGTCCCGGAGTGTCAGGCTCTGGGGACCCACACACTGACAGCGTGTTGTCCTCCAAATACTGGCACTCATGTGGCCGCAATTGGTTCTAAAATTCCGTTTGATGAAGGGCTGGAACTGGTGGGAGGCGTTGTCGATTTGAGATCCCCAAAACCACGGTGGAAGGAAGCGCGCGGGGCCTGCGGACCTCGCGTCCCTCCACCCGAGGCGGAGCGCGGCGAGGGAGGCGGGCGGCTGCAGCCTGCGCCTGGCTAATTTTAACTGTTGATTGCATCTTCGCCGAACACTCATTCGCGTGTCCCTTCATAGGTCTCATTTGTAATTGAGACTAATGATTACAGTGGGGTGTGAAGGAGCAGCTGCTCATTAATTAATTTCTAATTAAAAGTGCCTCCCGTCCTCGGGTGACTAAGGAGAAACACCGTTCGTCGGGCGATATTGACTCTTTGGATGGAGTTCATTTGTTAAGGCCCAATGGCGCTCCGCCCGGCTCGCGCGGCCGGGGACTGTCCCCGCCCCGCCCGACCCGCGGCCCAGTGACCCTCACGTCGGCGGCCAGGCCGGGCTGCGCGGCGTGGGGCTGACGTCAGCGCCTCCGCAGCTTAAAGCCGCGCACATCTGACTTGACCGTTCGTGCGCCTGGTTTTTGTTTTTGTACGGTTTTTTTTTTCCCCCTGCAAAATATGTATTTCTGTCGCCATTGTGAGGCCGATCGGTCCCAGAGCCCTCTGAAGGCTCTGGATTTCGAAGCTGTGGCCACTGCTACTCACTTTCTTGTCCTGTTAGAAAAGTTTTCGGAGCTTGTGGATGAATTAACCTGCTCTCGCTCTTCGCCTTGCCAGCGCTTAGGATCCTGCAACCCCGGAGCAGTGGCCACACCGCGCCGGCCCCGGCACGCAGGACCCCGCCGGCCCTGCCTGACGGCCCAGGGCCGCACCCGCCATGTCCTACCCGCAGTTTGGATACCCCTATTCCTCGGCTCCCCAGGTAAGGAGACTGCTGCAGTGGGCTGGGGGAGGAGACTCGGGCTGGAAGCTCCAGAGATTGGGCCGATCCAGCTAGCAGGGCCCCGGGTCCAGGCCTTTCGCATATGGCTGGTCCACAACACCAAATACTTGGGGAGGGCCGGAGTGTTGATAAAATATCTGGGACGAGTCAGAATCTCCAGCTGTTTAACTCATCAGGCTGCGCTCCCACAGGATCCTGGGGGAACACTTGGGGCAGACAGGCTTGGAAAGCAGGTAAAGATGTGAACACTTGGCTGGGCTCCACGTGGACAGAGGAGGCCAGGATGGAGGAAGAGGCCAGGATGGAGGGAGGCCTCTGGGGACTCGCTGGGTGCATGAAGGTGCAGCTTCCCTTCTCTCGCCTGGTATCCACTCGTCCTTCATGGTCCCTCTCTCCCCAGTTCCTAATGACCACCAACTCCCTGAGCACATGCTGCGAGTCGGGCAGCCGCACGTTGGCCGAGTCCGGGCCGGCCGCCTCCGCCCAGGCGCCGGTCTACTGCCCAGTCTACGAGAGCCGGCTGCTGGCCACTGCGCGCCACGAACTCAACTCAGCTGCTGCCCTTGGTGTCTATGGGAGCCCCTATGGCAGCTCGCAAGGCTATGGCAACTATGTGACCTATGGCTCTGAGGCATCTGCCTTCTATTCATTGGTAAGGGGCCATCCCCAACCTGTCCTACTCGCCCTGCCTTGGGATTTGCCAAGCCTCTTCTCGCCAAGGTGCTAGATCCCAGACTGTTGGGGGTGGGAGAAGCTTGACTTCACTTCCTGGCCCACCCCCCAGGCTCTGAGTGACCCCGCGGGTGGGCCCACTATGTTTAATGTAGTTACCCGGGTTTTGCTTTTGTTTTTGTTTTTTCCTATTTTGCCCTTGGACTCTTACAAGATTACTAGCACCACCTTCTGAGTGTGCACCCCCCTTCACCTCCTCCTCCTGGGTTCCCCACCCCTTTCCTTTTCCCCCTCCTCACTGGTCCTGGTCCTCCCACTTCCTTCCCACCGTCCCCCTCACTTACCCTTATACCCCCCTTTTCCTCCCTCCTCCCTTCTTTCTCCTCCTCCTCTCACACCCTTGCTCCTCCCCACTTGCTCCTTCCCTTCTGCTCCAGTCCTTCTCCCTCTTCCAGGTTCACTCTCCCCTCCTGCCCCGTCCCCTGGGCCTCCTCCTCCCAATCTCCAGTTGCCTATTCCGCCCTCTTCCATCCTCCTTTGCAGTCTGCTACCATCCTCTCCACTTTTCTCTCCCCTCCCCCTTCCACTTTCATCCTTCTTTTCATCTGGGTTCCTGGACCCACTCCCTAACTCTTTGCTTCTCCACAAAACATTTGGGGGAAGTACTGAAACCAGCAGAAGATGGACCAGAGAGTCTGTGGGTCGCTGAGGCGGGTGGGGACTGCCCAGGGGTCTGAGTGCTGGAACAAGAGGACCTAGGGGAAGGACTCTAGATGGATCCCCAGAAGCTGCGATCCCAAACTCCTTGACTCCTACAGAACAGTTTTGACTCCAAGGACGGGACAGGATCTGCACATCCAGGCCTTGCGCCAGCAGCTGCAGCTGCCTACTACCCTTATGAGCCGGCTCTGGGCCAGTACCCATATGACAGGTGAGGGTCCCAACCCCTACACACACCCCACCCCCCAAATTGACGGCCAGCCACCCCTATCTCATCATATCTCCCTGGAAGATGGTGGGAGGGGAATAAGAAGAGGGGACTGCACCTCTTTGGTTAGGGTAGTTGACCTGCTTTGTGGCCAGCCGAATTTCGGCCTCCTGCAGATCAAATGGTGCCCCAGACGCCCCGCCACGCCCCTCTTGCTGTTGGGGCTGTGGAAATCCTCAGTGTGTGATCTTCAAGGAAGTCAAGTATGGAACGCTGGTGCAAGCATCTGACCTAAACCCACCGTGAAGTAGGAGCCAGAGGGGAAGGTCCCAGGGCTTTCTATACCCAGGCTCAGGCCCCCCACGTCATTAATAATTTAACCTAGAGACTTCCACCGAGGTCCTGGGCCTTGCTCCTTGGGGAGCACCACGACCCTTTCTGCCTGTGGGCCTTACATGCTAGGGTGTCAGGTTCACAGTCCCATGATAGGCTTTTATGGTTTGGGGACCCAAGGGGTAGGAGAGAAGTGCCATAAAGAAATTCAAGTAAATATCTGTGGTGTGACAGATGCCGGTGACCTTTCCAGCTTGGAAAGGAGACCAACCTCCCAGTAATCTCAATACCATTATTTTTGCCCTGCGCCCACAAAGTCAGGGTAGTGCTCACAGTCCTGCCAGGGCCTGTGTCCAACCAAGGTCTGCCAACCATAAATATAACCCACCATGGGGAGGCACCTCCTGCCCCTACGTCCCCTGTCCCCCGCCCCTCCCCTGGATCTCCCTGGCGGCCGCTGGCACCCCATTGCAAAGCCTGTCTCCAGGTACGGGACCATGGACAGCGGCACGCGGCGCAAGAACGCCACACGCGAGACCACCAGCACGCTCAAGGCCTGGCTCAACGAGCACCGCAAGAACCCCTACCCCACCAAGGGCGAGAAAATCATGCTGGCCATCATCACCAAGATGACGCTCACGCAGGTCTCCACCTGGTTCGCCAACGCGCGCCGGCGCCTCAAGAAGGAGAACAAGGTGACTTGGCCGCCCCGGAACAAATGCGCAGACGAGAAGCGGCCCTACGGGGAGGGTGAGGAAGAGGAGCCCGGCGAGGAGGAGGCCCGCGAGGAGCCCCTCAAGAGCGCCAAGAGCGAAGGTGGGTTGAAGGTTGGCTGCCCCCAGCGGTGGGCGGGGACAGGGTGGCAGGGGAACTCTGCGCAAGTTCGGGGACATCTTGAAATAGGCGATTGGGTCACAAACCGCCCAAGAGTTTCGGCAGCAAAGGGCGAACCGGTTCTGAACCTGACCCTGTACAGAGGAAACTGGAGTGGTGCTCTGTAGGAATGCTTAAAGAAATACAAAGTCAAGTTTAAAAACAACATGCACACACACAGCCCCGCATGTTGTCCGTTTGAGTCAAGGGGCCCCGGAAGAGACAGGAGGGGAAGACAGAGAAAGGCCTAGCAGTTTTCCTAGCGAGGACGGGGCCCATTAACGGTGGGTGGGCTTAAGCAGGATGGCTGCCTGGCCCCTGCATCCTGTCTCCATCCACTGGCCCAATGTTCCCTCCTGGCAGATCCTGTGGGAAAAGAAGACAAGGAGCTAGAACTCAGTGACCTGGAAGATTTCGACTCTCTGGAAGCAGAGACCCCGGAGTGCGAGCTGAAGGCACCCTTCCAGCCCCTGGACGGCGGCCTGGAGCGTGTCCCTGCCACACCAGAGGGCCCTGGAGCCCCGGGCAAGGAGGCCTCGGGTGCACTCCGGATGCCCCTGGCTGCCAGTGGTAGAGCGGACCTGGACAGAGGCCGGAGCTGTCTCCGAATCGCGGTGGCCGCACCGGAGCCGCAGGGAGGCACAGAGGGAGGCCCACAGGCCTGCGAAGCCAAGCTGGGCTTTGCCCCTGGGGCGCCGGTGAACATGGAGGCCAAGCCACGCATCTGGTCACTGGCCCACACGGCTACCGCCGCCGCAGCCACCGCTCTGAGCCAGACTGAGTTTTCCTCGTGCATGCTCAAGCGTCAAGGTCCCGCTGCCCCTGGGGGCGCATCCTCGGCGCCCCCTGCAACCTCACCTGCGGTCCCGACCTCGTCCGGGGCCCTAGACAGGCACCAGGACTCCCCAGTAACCAGTCTCAGAAACTGGGTGGACGGGGTTTTCCACGACCCCATCCTCAGGCACAGCACTTTGAACCAGGCCTGGGCCACCGCCAAGGGCGCCCTTCTGGATCCGGGGCATCTGGGACGCTCGCTGGGAGCGGGTACCAACGTGCTGACTGCGCCCTTGGCGCGCGCCTTCCCGCCCACCGCGCCCCATGACGCCCCAGCTCCCGGTGCCGCCAGGGAGCTGCTGGCTCTGCCCAAGGCCGGAGGCAAGCCCTTCTGTGCCTGAGGCGGGCCGCCAAGCGAAAGAGGGGACTTGTGCTCAGGCTGCCGGCGGGAACGCCCAGGCTCTTTGCACTGAGCTTCCAAAGGAAGGCAGGAGCGTGGCCAAGCCAAGGCTGGCCGCTCTCTCTAAGCGGACCGGAGCCTTCCGAATCTTAAAGTTTACGTCCGAAGTTTACATGGAGATGGCCTTTAGGTTAGGAGGCTCGTTTTGTGTTGCTGTCTCCTTGGGGGTTCCAGGCATGCCGTATTCGTTATGGAGACTCCTCAGCCTGCTCGTCTTCTGAACTCATCCTCAGCACATCGAGCTCACCAACAGCACTTCCACCGAGTTTACACTGGCGCACTCTTGACTGGATGAAATTATGTTTTCCAACATGTATGTTCACACCAGTGATTGCCCGCTTCAGAGGCTAATATAACAAAACCAATAAAACCTAGTGATGGTGTCCGTGTTGCAAATGAACACATTTCAAACCCAAGGCCTTGAGAATTGGCCAGAGCAAGCAATGCTGGCCCAGGGGGAAGGAGCAGGGTTGGGTGGGAGACCCAAGCTCCACCTCAATAAAGTGGTTGTCTACTCAAGACTAAGGAAAGCCATTTAAATAGACAGTCACTGTAAAGTGAGAGAGCCCTGCTGAACTCAAAATGGAAATGGGTGTGAGGCTCAAAGTTTTAACATTCTACCCCACTATCACACTCCACAATTTGGGAGTAAATAAGGTTTTTTGCCTGGGTTAAAATAATTTAAAATTTCTAAATTGCCCAGGACTACAACGTGGGGGAAGGGACAGCTTGGGAGCTCTTCACTGACCTGAGGCTGGTCTCCTCTCACACCACCGTCTACTGACCCCAGCTTCACTTCCAGAGGTCCAACCAGCCTCTGGACAATTAGTGTCCACCACTGCTGGGAAGCATCCAACACCGGAGAGGGGAGACAGTAGCCACAGACTAGGAGGGACTGAAAGGAAAGACCTCAGGTCAGGGGCAGAAGTGCTAGACTCACACTCCCAGAGCAACTGAGGGCTGGGGGGGCTTGAGCAGACCTGGCCTGACCCTCAAGGGGTTCCAGTGCTGCTGTAGACTCATAGTTGCTGCTGCTCGGTTCCGGGATCCTTTCTAGATCCCTTTGTGCATACCTCATTCCCAGGCAGATCCCTGCCTCAGCGTCCACAGACCCTCCGCTGGCCTGCAAGTCCTGTACTCTGCTTGGGGCCTCATAAAAGTCCTCAATGAACCTAGGAAGGTATAAGAGTGGAGAATCCGGGACTAGAACACATTCTGACAGCCGTAGTGATACCACTTTGTACCCCAACCTGCTGCCTTGTTGGGACACTTGAGGCGGGAAATTTCTTCTGCAGTCTGAGATTGGGTAGGACCTAACTGGGACCTCTTAGGGTCCTAGGCTCTGGATAGGCCTTGGCCCGCCTGAAGCTCTGAAAGGCCGGCCTAAAGGGCCTGCGGAGCTGGGATGGGGAGAATTTATGCACCCAAGGGAGAGAACCCGTGCGCAGCTGGCGCATGCTGTTCCCTGAGTGGCGAGACTCGCTCTGGACCCTGAATGCCGGACCGATGCCCTCGGACCCTGAGTGGCTGACTGGGGCCGCCGCTGAGCCCGAGGCCTGCCCTGGCCAGCCTCTCCGTAATTGGATTGTCCCCGGCCTGCGCGCTGTCACCGCATTGACTTTCGCTCTCTTGGATGATATTATCGAGATACGGAAGCTCGCCGCTGATGTGCCTGTCAAAAGACTGCGGCGGGGGCCCCGGCCTGGCGAGCGAGCATCAGCCAAGATAATTTGAAGTGAAATTTTCATTTTGACAGTAAACCCCTCAATTTCTAAAGGCTCCGCGCTCCGAGAGAGTGCTGGCAGGGGAGGCTTTGCAGAAAGCCCACGTCTTAGACTGAAAAGGGCAAAAGAACTCGAATTAGTTGTAATAGATAAAAGGGCAAAAATAAAGAGTCAAGGGTACTTGACAGTAATAGCGAAAGTGGAGTCTCTGGAGAGACGCTGTGCTGCCCGAGCTGGGCGCCAGGAATTTTAATGCGGCCGCCCTCGGCTGCCCCTGAGCCCCCATCCAACCCTAGACAAAGCAAGGCATTTTCAGTTTAAAAAAATAATAAAAATAAAAGAAGGGCTTCACGGATTAAGGTGTGGGAGGAAACTAGGCGGGGTAAGGGCCAGAGAAGCAGAAGTCCAAGCTTGGATTTCCGTCCTGTGCCCTGACTAGGGCTGCCCTGCTGGATCCCTAGGGAGCCCTGGGCGCACACGGGCGGCTAGCGCTGCTTGACTCGGCCTGGACTCCCAGATCCCTCCCCTGGGGCCGTCCCAAGGCTCGGAGGACTCTTGCTTATTGGACTTGGGATCCTCAGGCAAGGACTCTGGCACCAGGACCCCGCCTCTCTCTTAGGCCCTGGGCATCTGAATTCCATCTTGCTGGAGCCCCCAGGTCTTGGTGGCACGAGCTAACTGAAGTGGCTTATTTGAATAAACTGAGAGACTTGTGAAACAAAGACATCCCTGAGAAGGGGGCTCAGTCACATTGCAGGGCGACACCCCAAAGCTGGAGCTGCTCACTTGGAGCTGCCTCCTACCTTGGGGTGCAGACTGCAAGGTTTGCTTCAGACACAACCCGATCTTGGGACGGGGGCGCAGACCCGAGGATGGCCGGCAGTGGGGTGAAGAGGGAAGGGGAAAGGCATCTCCCCTCCCGTGGGGCGGGGCGCAGCGCGGCGGGGGAGGGGCGCGAGCCGCGACTTCCCTCCCGGGAGGTTGACAGGAAGGGCTGGGGGCCCCGCCACCGCCGCGCCGGGACCCGCGCTCGGTCACTCAGGCGTGGCAAATGCAAACACACGGAGAGGAGAGGCTAAATTAACGGCGCTCTTTACATAGAGCCCAAATAAAACTGTAATCAGCGGCGCGTTACTTTTCATTAAGCGAGTCTGACAGCAGCATATTCAAGCTCGACAAGGGAACGGGCAGCGGAAATATACGGCTCTCCTGGCCGGCCCGCCCGGCATAAGATAATTCCTTAAGCTCCATTAACGACTCCTAGCCGCAGGAAATCCGCTCCGAAACCGTCTCCAAATCTAAAAGCTTTATCGACCCCTCAAACGCGGCTGATGGGTCCATTTTTTTTTCTTTTTTTTCTCCCTTTTCTTTCGTTCTTCTTCTTTTTTTTTTTTTTTTCTAAACTTAAGGGAGAGACATCCAGCAAGGTAATAGAATTTGACAGGACACCTTCTTAACTAGAGAGATGCAGGGAAGCCAGCCCTTAAATGATATTTAAAAGGCAACCAATTAAGATTTAAAGTGGTCGTCTCCCGGGATTATTCACGCTGTTCATGCCACCCTCTCCCTTAGCACTCCTGCCTGCCTTCTGCATCCGAGACGCCTGTGTCCTCTTCTCTCTTCTCTCTTCTCTCCTCTTCTCTTTTTCTCTTCTCTTCTCTTCTCTCTTCTCTTCTCTTCTCTCTTCTCTTCTCTTCTCTCTTCTCTTCTCTCTTCTCTCTTCTCTTCTCTTCTTTCTTCTCTTCTCTCTTTCTCTTCTCTTCTCTTCTTCTCTTCTCTTCTCTTCTCTCTTCTCTCTTCTCTTCTCTTCTTTCTTCTCTTCTCTCTTCTCTCTTCTCTTCTCTCTTCTCTCTTCTCTTCTCTTCTCTTTTTCTCTTCTCTTCTCTCTTCTCTTCTCTTCTCTCTTCTCTCTTCTCTTCTCTTCTCTTCTCTCTTCTCTTCTCTCTTCTCTCTTCTCTCTTCTCTCTTCTCTTCTGTTTCTCTCTTCTCTCTTCTCTCTTCTCTTTTTCTCTTCTCTTCTCTTCTGTTCTCTTCTCTCTTCTCTCTTCTCTTTTTCTCTTCTCTTCTCTCCTCTTCTCTTCTCTCTTCTCTCTTCTCTTCTCTCTTCTCTCTTCTCTCTCTTTTTCTCTTCTCTTCTCTTCTCTCTTCTCTCTTCTCTTCTCTCTCTTTTTCTCTTCTCTCTCTTTTTCTCTTCTCTTTTTCTCTTCTTTTTTCTCTTCTCTTCTCTTCTCTTCTCTTCTCTCTCTCCCCACCCCCAGCAGGGAAGCAGCAGATCTTCCCGAAGGAAGGCTCCTCAGGTTGGCGAAGGGGACAGGGAGGCTGTCTCCTGGCAACTGCTTAAAGGACACTAGCCCTGGCCCTCCTGGAGGGTGACATCCAAGGTGGCCTCTCACCAGGTTCTCGACTGGTTACAGGCACCTGGCTTGGGTCCAAAGGGTGAGGGCAGTTAGCATCAGAGAAGCCAGAGCTTCCCTGGGACCAGTCTTTCTTCCCACCAGGAGCAGCTGAGCCAGGGCTGGCCTCTCACCCTCCTCCACCTTGCCCAGCACTGCTGCCCTCTCCTCCTTTTCCAAGGTACCGGGACAATGTGGCTCCTAGGATAGAGCCAAGCAAGCAAGCTGAAAGGCCTTCACCCGGGATCACACTCATCTCCCTCCAGGTAGTGCTGGCCAGGGAATTTGTTCCCATTGGTGCTGCCAGGCAGAAGGGGCTGGAATGCCGCCCCCCAACCCAAGTCACTTGTGGGAAGACAGTAAGGCCCAGCAGGGGGTGCGCCATGACCCTTTGATTTACAGACCCCCATCCAAGGTCTTGTTGGAAGGGACTGAGGTAGAAGAAAAGAAGGAGAGGGAGAGGAAGGGAAGACTGGGAGCAGAGGCCAGTGGGGTGAAGGTGAGGCAAAGGGGAGAGAGACCCAGTGATGGTGACAAGGGCACCTTCCTAGGTGGCCTTTTGAAGAAGTACTTGTGAACAAAATGCCTTTTTGCAAGAGCATCCAGAGTGTTGGGTACAGGTAGAGAGGCCATCTGGGGGGGCACTGGAACAAACACCCTGGACACTCACCCCAGCAAGCCCAGAGTGTGGCTTCACTCTCTACTGAGGACAGCTGTTCACCCCCAACCTCCAATCCCTCAGAATTTAGACAACTAGAGTCCCATCTCACCAACCAGGTCTCAGGAGAAGTGGCCTAGGACCTTGGTGGCTGTGGAGCCTTCTC